GTTTCTGTGTTTTCCATCTTACTAGAACATAGTTCTTGAGTAGCTATTGATGATCTTCTGAATTTCTATAGGATCTATTGTGATTTCTTCTTTTATTCCTAATTGCTTGAATTTGTGTTTTTTCTTTCTTCTTTTTGATGAGATTGACCAGTGGGTTTATCAATATTATTCTTTCAAAGAATCAACTTTAAAAAAACCCCAACTTACTGATTCATTGATTCTTTGTATTTTCTTGGTCTCAATTGTATTTCTGCTCTTATCTTTATAATTTCCTCCCATGCATGAGCTTTAGGTTTGATTTCTTTTTGTTTTTCTAGAAGTTTGAGGTTCAACATTAGGCTGTTTGCTTGTGCTTGTTCTGTTTTCCTGATGTGAGAATGTATCACTATAAATTTCCCTCTTAGGATGGCTTTCGTGCATCCCATAAGTTTTGCTATGTTGAGGTGGCATTATTGTTTAATTGTATGTTCTGTTTAATTTTTTCTTTAATTTTCTCTGTGGCCTATTGGTTGTTCAGAAGTGTTTTGTTTAATTTCTGTGTGTTTATATAGTTTTTGTGATGTCTGTTCCTGTTGGTTTCCAGTTTCATTGCACTATGGTCAGTACACATGGAATGATTTAAGTTCCTCTACATATACTTAAACATGTTTCGTGGGCTAATATGTGGTCTGTTTTGGAGAATGGACCATACGCAGCCAAGAGGAATGAGTTTTCTGATGTTTTGGTGTGGAATACTTTATAGACATCTACCAAGTCCATTTATTCACGGGTGTGGTTTAATTCTGATAGTTCTTTGTTGATTTATCTAATTGATCTATTTGTAAGAGTGGATTACTGAGGTCCCCCTCTACAATTGTGTTAGTGTTTATTTGGTGTTCCATGTCTGTTAATGTTCTTTTTTATGTAGTTGGGTATACCTGTGTTTGGTGCATATATATTTAGATTGTTATCTCCTCCTAGAGTTTGTATGTAGTGACCTTCTTTGTCTCTTTTGAACAGTTTTGATTTAAAGTTCATATTGTCTGCAAATAGAATAGCTACTCCTGCTTTTTTCTGGGTTTCTATGGCATGGAGACTTTTAGGACTTGAAATATCTTCAAGCTGTCTTTGATTCGAGGGTTTATTTTGAGAAGTAATTGATTATAGTGAGTTTTCCTTTATAGGTGATATGTTTCTTTTCTTTATCTGCTTTTAATATTTTTTTCTTGTGTTGAGTTTCTAAAATATTGATTATTATATGCCTTGGTGTAGATTTATTTTTGTCTTGGCTACTTGCAGTTCTATATGATTCATGTATGTGTGTGTAAAATTCTTTATCCATGATTGGGAAGTTTTTTGCCATTATTTCTGTGAAGAGGTTTTTAATGGCTTTTGCACTGTCTCTAGCTTTCTCACTGATACCAATAAATCATATGCCGTTCTTTGCTTCATCTTGTAGCTGCTGGATTGATTTTTTTTTTTTTTGTGGTCTTTGCTATTTTTAAGATATCTTTTTTTCCCTAATTGTTAGCTACATTTTTGTTTTCTAGGTCTGATATTCAGTCTTCACCTTCATTCAGTCTGTTGTATATACTTTCAGTGGAGTTTTTAATCTCCTGGATAGCAACTCCACATATCTTCTGTTTGCATCTGTTTAATCGATTCCATTTCTTGTCTGTGTTGGACAGTCATAGATTATAAATGCAAAAAGAAATGAAAAATAATACATCTCCATATTTACTCAGTGCTTTACAGTTTAAACATTAGAAACTGAGAATTAGATGCTTTGTTGGTATAAAAACTAATCAAGAATAATTTGAATATTATTTGCATTCTTCTCACTGTACAACTTGGACTACCTTTTCTTCTTAGTGAACTGTCATTGCGGTATGCTTTCTTGAATTTGAACAGAATGTTGGAATCTGATCCAAAATTGTGAAGTATGCAACACAATCACTTTCTGTTGACCAAGGAGCTTGCTGTGATTACTCAGTCACATAATGTAGTCACTGAAAATTTATGCATATTGGAGCCATACAAAATGATGAATGCCTATATTCCAATTATAAATTACTCATAGTACATTTAAATCTTGTCCTGGCCCCCTTTGCTTTTACCCTGATATTCACTGAGCCCATCTAGTGTAACCAACCTATAACATAGAAATTCAGTTAAGAATTGGACTTGTAGTTATAAAGTCATTGACTTGACCTTGAAGTTAGCTTTGACTTCTTTTCTAAGACCTTACACAGTAGACCAGCACCAGTGAAAGGATTTCCAGTCCCTACTGAGCACAAATCGTTTTGAGTTGATGTGCTACACTGGCATTGAACAGTTTTTGAGGTTGTCACTTTGGTAGTTTTTCCCCTGCTCTTTCTTTCCTCTTGCATGTTTTCCACTCTTCCTTGCCCTATCCTTTTTTTCCTGTGTTTCATCCCTAGATTCTACTTGTCTCCTTTCTAGCATTGTATTACATCATGTTCTTTTCAGTGCGTATTGGCATCATCCTAATCGGTCCATTTTTCAATGTGTCTTACAATTATCCTAATAGTTTCCTGACTTTCTTATCTTGTCACCCCCCTTTTCAACAAATCCTGTTTGCTATCACCAGAGTAATGTTCTTGGAGCACACCTCTGACCTTGCTTAATCCTTTCCTTGGAGCCTCTAAAATGAGTCATTGATTACAGAATAAAACCTAGACCACCTACTGGGGTTTTAATGACTTGCATTGTCTTTCTCATTTGCCTTATTTCAGTTTCTCATCTGATCCCTTCCTTCCCTCCAGAGCTTAGAATTTCAGCAAGATGGATTTGCTCATCACCTCGCAGATAGGCCACCTCTCCTCCTTTATGCAGCGTCTCACTAGAATGTACTCATCATTCTGAATATTGCCCCATTTTAAATGCTTATTCTAAATGTTCTTTTCTATGAAGTACTTCTTTTCTTTGTAGAAATGGCTTTTCTCCTTTCTGAAGCTCTGATGGGTTTATTTCATGTTTTCCAGTAGACACTTATTTGTTGATCTGTATTTTTAGTCGTAATGTATGATTTAATCTCACCAGTTAGCTTTTAAATTCTCAAGGAGCAGGAGCTAAGACTCTTAGGGCTATTTAGAATAGTATTTGAGAAAGTGGTAGCCACAAGTCTGTTATCCCTCCATTCAGGATTCACTTGAGCCTTCTGCATATCTTCTAGATTCTGAGTGATATAAAATAGTTAAAGTATAACAGGATAAATTTGTTGACCTCACAGAGCTCTAGCTGTGTGAAGTATACAAGTAAGTATTCAGGTTGCTGTTATGAGCAAGATGTGTGAATAACAATGAGCTTCTGTGGAAGCATGGAGAAGCCACTGCAAATGCTTCCAGCAGAAGCAAGTATTAAACAGAGTCTTCAAGAGAAGTAGAGAGTCATGTAGACACAGGGGGCCAGACCGAGAGTATGTTCCAGGAAGAGGACCAGCCAGGACAAAGCTCTAGACTAGACAGAGAGTACTGAATGAAGTCAAATGTTATTAATACCCTGGGAAATGAGATGTGATTCTTAAAGGATTGTGAAAGGAACAAGGGGGCTCTGTGTTGGGGAAGAAGTGGATGTGTAGCAGAGTGGACTTCTAGGACTAGATGTTTGGATAGGTGAAGTGAGAGACTGAGGCATGCCTTTTTTGGGGAATGGGGTGGGCAGAAGTCTTGGAGGTGGCATATGAGTTCAGTTTTAGGCATTTTGAGCTTGAGGTGCCTGTGGAATGTCTGCATAGAGATAAACAAGAATAGTCTGAAGCTCAGCAGAACATTTTGGGCAGGAAATATAAATTTGGGTCACTTCATCATAATGACAGGATGAAATCATAGCAGAGTATGTAGAGTTAGTGAAGATGATTTCAAAGCCAAACCATAAAGCACCTCGGTATTTAAAGGAAAAGCAAAAAGTATAGTCTGCAAAGACTATTAAAATAAAATGGGCAGAGAGAAAGGAATGAAATAAGTGAGTGAGAAATAGTGGAAATGAAGAGATTGAAATCTGTCCATTGAATTTAGCGACATGGAGACAGTTAATTATTTTAGTAAGAAAGTTTCTATGTAGAAGGTGGTTCGGGAAAGGAGTGTTATTCTGGTGTGGGACTGATTGTAGTACATTGAAAAGTGAACACATTTTCTTCTGGGAAATGTTATGCGCAAGAGGATTTAAAGAAGGCAGAAGATAGAAGGAAATAGAATTTTGGGGCTTTTTTTAAGTAGGTGGAGATCTGATGTTTAAAGGCTGATAGGAAAAGTTCATTCGTGAAGAAGAGGTTGACTCTACACTGAATTTAGCCAGTTAAAACGCTTCTTAAAAGTCTCCATCCAGTGTGTCCTCTCGTCTTTTGATACTGTAAACAAGGTGACTCCAAAGTGAGACTCACTCTGCTACTTGTAGGTTTTAGTGGACTCTGAGATTGCAAATTCCTATAAAGTGTGTCTGAAGCTGTCCTACACCTTAGTTGTGAGTATTACTTCATCTGTTATTTTATATAGAATAAAATTTGAGCAGATAATATTTTCATCATTTTTCCATTCTATTAGCAAATACTTATTTACTGTGCACTGTATATTGGACTTGGTTGTAGGTACTAAAGATGTGATGATTATTAAGTAGAAATTTCTGTCATTCCCAAGAAGTTTATAATTTAGGGAGACAGCTAATAAGCTTGCATGAAATTAAGAAACAAAGTAGATGCAGATTGCAAAAGGTACTTAAAAATGACTATGGTAACAAGCTTCAGGGGCCACTTGATAGTCTTTTTCTTTGAAACTCTTCTATCATTGGAGGGAAACCATCATAAATCCCTAGAGAATTAAACGACTTAAAATGGAAAGAAAAAAATAATAATAGGGTCTTTTGAGCATAGTATTTACTCCTTAGCTTATCATTTCTTTAGTTAGTGGAAATATAATAATTATAATGGGTTGTATATTTGCGGTCTTCGTTGATAACCTTTGAGAAAGACATCAACTGTTCACATTTTCTCTTTTCCATTTCAGTAATTTGTCATCTTCCTTGTATGAATGGTGGCCAGTGCAGTTCAAGGGACAAATGTCAATGCCCTCCAAATTTCACAGGAAAGCTTTGTCAGATTCCAGTCCATGGTGCCAGTCTACCTAAACTTTATCAGCATTCCCAGCAGCCAGGCAAGGCACTGGGGACACATCTTATCCATTCTACACATACTTTGCCTCTGACCATGACCAGTCAGCAAGGAGTCAAAGGTAAGCTCTTCATTGTCCTTTGGTCCATTCATCCGACCTCTGTTTATCTGTCAGATCCATATGGAAGCCGCCTCTCTGCAGATGGCCTGGGCTGGTATTGAAACAGAAAGGAATATGTGAACTGTGGGCTGAGAATGGATGTAGAGGCAAACAGTGGATCCTGCTATGTCACTGCAGGATTTTCTAGGCAAGAGAGAATTGGCATCTAGGACATAAGAAAATAAAAAGCAGCATATTCTTGTTTTGAGAGCTGATTAACATGAGTGATACTGTTTTGACAAGATCTAGGACACAAGAAGAAGGGCAGATCAGTTTTCTGGCCCTCATAGTTTTAGTGAATGAGTGGGTTACATAGTACTCACTAAAGAATTCTGTATTTGAAGAGTGTGTGGTTTTTGTTCTAAGCAGTCATCTAACCTCTCTGGGTTTGTTTGTTCGTATATAGGGCAAGATAAACTAGGTCTCTTGGAGTTCAAAATTTTTTTGACTAATTCATACTTTTAAATCTGGCATCTATATAAATGCTTAAGTTTTAAAGGGAGGTCAGAGTAGTGTTATTAGCTCTTATTCTTTAAAACTGGAATCTTTACAACAGGATATAAGATTTTGTTTTAAGGGGGCAGAAAGTAAATCTTGTTACAAATACAAAAATAACATGCGATGATGGATTTTGTGTGTGTGTGTATATCAGAAGCATAAAATACACGCATACTATGTTAAGAGAATTATACCTTATGAAACTGGATTTATACTTTCAGTAGAAAAACTATAAATCCTAAAATTTTGACAATAGAAAATTTATTTTTTATTTTAAAGAGAATAAAACAAAACAGAACAAAGCCAGATCAGAGCAAAACGATGCAAACAACACAGGAATTCAAAACAAGACAACAGAAAATCAACAGTGCTACCTTAATGTCTCTTGTTTTCTTCAAAATAGTTGTCCATACCTTCACACAAAATAAGCTAATACAAAACAGAATAGTACAAAAGCAATCAAAACAAAAGAATCAGAACCTTAATGGGCCTTCAAAACTAGGCAATAGGAAATCCATAATGTCTCTCATTTTCTCAAAATAGCTGTTCATACCTTCACACATATTGAAATCAAATAATTAAAAACAATAAAACCAATCAAAACCAAGAATAAAAGCACTATTGGACTTAAAAACAAAATGATAGCAAAGGCTACCATGATGTTTCTTCATTGTAGTTGTTCAGACCATCACACATAATAAAATCAGTTCTTGTAAACTTCTTAGGTGAAGTTCTAGGAATATATAGGCCTATACATATATCATGTCTTTTCTGTATTAGAGGGAAAAACAAAGTATAAGAAAAACAAGAAATGACTCAAATAAAAAACTGACAAATGTAGGCTTTCAAAACAAGGTGGTAGGAACATAACAAATTTTGTTATTTTGTATAGTTATCTTTAAAAGTCTTACTCAAATTACCAGATACAGTCATGCAACATCCTACGGAGGTAAACTGGTTTGCCCTAAGAACTAATAGAATTAGTAGTACAATCATCTTAGTAATCTTAAGTGTATATGTGCAAATTTATATTTTTTTCTTTTCCTTCTTTTCTCCGGGTTATTTTTTCTCTTTGAGCAGTTTTTTAACCTTTCACAATATTTATTGAAGATTTTATATCTTATTTAATCTTTCAGTTTCTTTTTTCATTTTTATCGGTACCAGGGATCAAACTCACGATTGCCTGCTTGCAAGGCAGGCACTTATGCCGCTGAGCTAAATCCCCAGCCCCCAGTTTCTTATACTAGGGAGACAATAGAAATTTTATGAGAAAACAAAAAGTAATTAAATCTTGATCTTTATTATCTTTTGGTAAATTATACCCACCAATGCAACAAATGGTATGAATGTCATAGTTTTTATCATCATACTAAAAAGAATATTTTTTGTCATAAATATGTTACTGTATGTTTTTATAATTGCAATTTTATACTTTAAAATTATAAATGTAGGTTTGTCATTTTGGGTGTACCTTTTGATTTTCAAGAATTCTGCTAACTGCAGCACAAAGTAGTGTACACATTAAATAAGTTATTCTGTGTGCGATGTATATGCATATAAATGTGTGCATAAAATTTACTTGCACCTTTAAAAATCATGCCTTTTAGTTATCCACAACTAACAAGTTTTCCTTCCAATCTGTTTTAGTGAAATTTCCTCCCAACATAGTCAATATCCATGTGAAGCATCCTCCTGAGGCATCTGTCCAGATACATCAGGTTTCAAGAATTGATGGCCCATCGGGCCAAAAAGTAAAAGATGCTCAACCAGGCCAAACGCAAGTTTCATACCAAGGGCTTCCCATGCAGAAGACGCAGACCATACATTCCACGTACTCCCACCAGCAGGTCATCCCGCATGTCTATCCTGTGGCTGCTAAAACGCAGCTTGGCCGGTGCTTCCAGGAAACTATTGGTTCTCAGGTAAGCAGCAATGCCTAGCCTGTTTGGTAGTGTGTTCTAGATATGATGCCATTCCAGTAAGAGAAGGCAGAGAAGTGATTTTTTGTGGAAGAGATTATCCAGTTATGGCCAGCAGACCTGTTTTTATAAGCAAAATATCATTGGGAAAGTCATATTCATGTACATATTGTCTGTGCCCACTTGTGTCCTATGATAACTGTACTAAAATGGTTCTGATGAGATCAAATGGCCTGCAGAACTGAAAATATTTACTATGTGGCCCTTTAGAGAAGGAACTTGCTCATCCGTGGTGTTGAATAATTTTAAGTAATGTAGTGAAATCCAGAAATGTTGCTACAAGTCCATGAGACACTTGTTTATATTTTTTTCAATTAGGATGATTTGTATATGAAAATGTGTCAGGCATGAGATACTCTACAAAGACGTTTAAAAATACTTGTCATTGATAATTTACAAGTTAGTAGACATAGTTGAGTTTTGAACCCATTTTGCCATAATAATTCATTGTCATCTTCAATTTTCTTATAAAAATGCATAACTAAAATGTCACACCATTAACTTTTGAAGTACATGAAATATCACTAACTTTAGACCTGAATTTATATCAGAAAGACTAAATTTTGTTTAAAACTCAATATTGAATATGCATAGTGAAGGCATCCTAAGAGTTTTAGTTCTGTACTCCAGCCATTTTGAGATTATGTGATAATGATACAGGGTTTATCTTATGATTCTCCTTCTGCCCTTTGGTTGTGATTTATTCACTCTATACAAAAATGAGACATATTCTAAAATATTCAGAAAGAGAGGGAAAGAAGGCAGGAGGGATGGACTGTGGGTGGGGTGGGCATAGAGACCCCCCCAAATCCTACAAAAACAAACAAACAAACAAAAAAAAAAGAGCTTGGAGGTAGTAGAATCCATTATTACTGCTTTAAAAACCTGAAAAACACTTTTCAGTACTATGTCAATGTAGGATTATTCCATTTCTCTTAGGACAGTGATGGAGAACCTCCTAGAGCTTTCAATGATAACAGCCAGCCTGTTGAAAGCACGTGTACCATAGGTTCACCTTGTGTTCTAGCACAAGGGAAAACTGGTTTGTGAATCTGAATGGAAGTCCGTGGGCAGGAATGGAAAAAGAATGATGCAGAATTAGGAGACCTTAGTTAAAGCCTGTGGCCCAGCCCTTAGTGGCAGGGAACCCACTTTCTAATCTGCAAAGTCGAGACAAAACTGGATTTTGTTAAGAGTAAAGAGAGTTGTATGCAAATGTCATACAGTTGTATGCAAATATTAGAGGATACTGATAATATAGTCAGACTTAAAATAGTCAAATTAATCGATTATTTGTCATGTAACTTCAGTAATACCAAGAAACCCTGCATATTCCACATACAAACTTTTTTTTTTTTGGTACTGGAGATCGAGCTCTCAACCTTGCATTTGCCAGACAGGTGCTTGCGCTGCAGAGCTATATCCTCAGCTCCACATCCAACCTTTATCTGCCTGTGAATACCTGAAATGCTGGCAGCAGGGCAGCTGATAGAGCTTTTCATTCATCTACTGAAGTTCAAATTAGCAAATCTTTTGGAAAAAGGAGCATTGTCAATTTAAATTAAATTAGAAATAAAGATTGGATTTCTGTGATGAGAGCTTGCTTTAATAGGAAAAGTGAGGCTGATGATAGACTTCATACATTTGATAGTTTTGCCCCAAACCAGCCTTGGAGAGGAAGATGTATTTAGAGCCTTTTGCATCATTCCAGCCTAACTTGGTCATGGAGAAAGGAAAAAGCAGATCCTTTTAAAACTGTGTGCCCAGTCCCTTTCTCCTCAGTTTCCAACTTGGAATACAGATGATAAAATGCTAGAAAATGAGACATAACAAACTTACTTTTCTATAATATTAGACAGATGATGGCTAAGTAGAAAAGATGGGAGGAACTTGTTTACTTATAATTCTAAACAGGACTGTACAATTGACATGAATTGGGGAATTGGTGGAGTTACTCAAGTAATAATCCAAACTCGGTGGAATACTTTTGCCTTATCTGGATACTTCTCTAACTTTTGGTCTGAATGATCCAGACAGTGATCTCAATACTTAATTCATTTTGCATGTGGAGTCGCCAACACCACAGCTTCAAAATAAGACCTATTTTCAGAAAATATTCTCAGCATGTCCTTGTATCCTGTTCATGAGAAATGCTGCTGGGTGCTCACTTAATTAGTGCAATCAGGATGTCCCAAGCATTTAAAAAATTCATTGTTGGCAGATAATCAATATTATGTAGATGTGTTCTACAGAGAGGGTTGAAAACATCTGTGCTTTGCTGCTGTGATTGAAGACAGTCAAAGCCAGGAGCTAGAGGCAGATTTTAAAAGAAAGGTGGAAGCAAACAACAGAAGTGCATGTGTGCTATCTATTGATCTGCTCACTGGGAGCACTCTAATTAGTTGGAATGTTCATCTACTGAGGCTTGAAATCAAATAGTTACCAGTGGGTACCGACGTTCACATGTTGTCAGGAGAAATAATGTAAAAAATAAATTTGACAGAAATAGTACTTGCTTCTATGGCACATTCTAGTAAGTTGGCCATCAACTTAGAATTGAAAATCCTACATGATCTTTGATCAGTGTATTTAAATTTGGGGAAACTGTGTAAATGCAATTTTAGAGTTTTTTGGATGATAGAGTAAAATGGACAATTTGGTTAGTAAAATTAACTCACAGAACAAAAGGAGAATTGAATAGCAAAGAGAGCATTGCAAGAAATGGAAGCAGAAGAAATGTCAGAAGAGACCAAAGAAGTGAGATTCTTGGGACTCAGACTTTTACACACATACTAAGCCTCTTTTAAATTTTTACTACTTGTATATGTTTGCAGTGCATAATAATTAATTCATCTTGGTGAACAGATATACAATGCATACCACGTTGCTCATGTTTACCCCCTCCTTTCTGCCCCCTTCCCATGCCCTCATCTTACCTGCATAAAGTCTGCCTCCCGTTTCCTACTATCTTTTTTTGATTTTAATCTTTAAATCATTTATATTTTGGGTTTCTATTATAAGAGAAACCATGTGATGTTTATCCTTCTGTGTCTGATTTATGTCACATAACATCATAGTCAAAGACCCATTCATAGTCGTTCAAAGATCCATTCAGAGTCATGCACATGACTCAGATTTATCGTTCTTCATTGAGTAGTAGTGCTTGTGGGTGTACGTGTATGTGTGTGTGTTCACGTTCATGGCATGTGCATGTACCAGATTTTCTTATATTCATCTTCTGATGGGTATATAGGCTGCGATGGGTATATAACAATAATTTAGTTATTGTGAGCCATGTTGTTGTAAACACAGGTATGGATGGACCCCTGAAATAGGACTTCAGCTCTTTCAGGAAGATACCTAGAAGGCAAAACTGACTCAAATGGAGTGTCTGTGTTTAATTTTTTGAGGCACCTCCATACTGATTACCATAGTGGGGTGGTTATACAATTTTTGTATTCCTCCCAACATTGCAGAAGGATTCCTTTTCCCTACAACCTTGTCTGAATTTGTAATTTTTTGAGTCTTTCATGATGGGTGTTATATGGGGTAAGATGAAATCCCTGTGTTATAGGCATAGTGTAGTAGAAAGGACTTAGTGGGAAAGCCAAAATATGAAGTCCCCTTGATCAAGAAATCCATCTCATCATCAGTTTTTGTTTTATGAAAACATAAAATGTTATAACAAATAGTAGAATGACAATAATAAATACATTGTCTATTGTTACCTTCAAAGTAGTTATTCAAAGTGTAAGACATAAACCACAGAGTCTTGCTGTGCAGCTGGCCTTGAGCTCAACTGCGTAGCCTAGGCTGACCCCAACTTGTAGTGCTCCTCCTGCTTCAGCCTCCTGAGTGCTAGAGTTACAGGTGTACACCATCCCGCCTGGCCAAAGATTTCTATACAAATAAAACAAGTAATACCACAAAAGTTTCTTTTCAGTAAGGTAAACTGATACTATAAATGAAATAAATTAGTATATCTTAAAATATTTTTTGAACAAAATTTGTAATTTGTAGAAGTATTTGAACTTTTTGCTAATTCCTGTTTATCTCTCTTCTATTTTGTTCTTTATAGTATTTTTACATTTATTTTGTGTTTCTCATATAAGAAAAACAATGCAGTATTTGAGCCCATGTGTCTGATTTATTTCACTTAACATTATGTTCTTAAGATCCATCCATTTACTTATGAATACCTCAAATTTATCATATTTCTCTTTTTTGGCTAGAAGCTCTGTGTTGTGAATAAATGCTACCTTTTCTTACCCATTTATTTGTTGATGGACATCTAAGGCTGTTTCCAGGATCTACCTTTTACAAGTGCTGTTATAAATACATGGGTATGGATGTACCCCTTAATCCTGTATGATCATCCCTGTGTGATGATTTTTAATTCTTGGGACGAGATCTAGAAGAAATATAGTTGGGTCAAAAGGAATGTCACGCTTTAATTTTTTTGAGGAATCTTCACACTGATTTCCATAGTGGTTGTACTAGTTTACATTCCCACCAACGATGCAGAAGAGTTCCTTTTCCCCCACATCTTTGGCTGCGTTTGTTGTTATTAGACTGTTGGATGACAGCCATGTTTTCTGGCGTCAGATGGTATTTCCATAGTTTTAATTTGCATTTCTCTGATGGCCGGAGATGAGAAGCATTTTTCATGTATTTCTTGGCCATTTGTACTTCACTTCCTGAGAAATGCCTGTTCATTTCAGTTGCCCAGTTTTCATTGGGTCTTTTATTTTGAGGGCTCTGATGTTTTTTAGTTCTTCACATATTCTTGATATCAGTCCTCTGTCCGAGGAGTAGCTGGCAGATTTTTTTCCCCAGCTTGTATGTTGTGTCATCGTGTTGTTGGTTATTTCCTTTGCTGTGCAGTAGCTGCTTAACCTGATATGATCATGTTTGTCGATTCTTGGTATTACTTCTTGTGCTAT